ATAGAATCAGAGAATTGTAGAGTTGGAAGAAATTTGAGGGTCATCTAGTCCAAAACCCTGCAATGAAGGAATCTTAGGATGTGGTGGTTCTCTGGTTCAGCCAGCGTAAATCCCCAAGCCCTGACTCAACCAGAGATATGCCGCCCCAAATCCTTCATCCTGGCTTAGCTGAAACTCAGGGGGCTGAGTTGTGCCCTGGAAAAGGAGTGTTCCAGGAGAGTGGTTGAGCTAGGACCAGAGGAGGGAAACTTAAGTTGGTTGGATACTGTGTGCATTCAGTTTGGTCATGCTGGTATAAGTTAAGCTGGCAATGTTTGGGAAGCTGAAGCAGCTTGATCTTCACTCAATAGAACAACGTTGGCAAAGTGTTTCTTAAGTTTTATTGACAGAAGTCTGATAGAGCATCATGTTGAACACATGGAAATGTTCACCGCCTTCTGCTCTGGTAGGTTTCTGCAGTGCATAGGCTTTCTTCCACACATGCATATCTGTCATAAAGATGAGCATTTCCTTAATAATGGATATGTCCTTGTTCGATATTTGCAGAGCTTTAGACTCTAAAGTACATCTTGGTGTACAAACATAATTAGTGCCTTCCTACTGACAGAGGAAGAAGATAGCTATACTTTGCTAATTTCTTCAAGATGAGCCAGTCAATAGTTTCTTCATATTGATTGACACACATCTCCTCTAACCTTTACTCAGGAGCTCACTTCAATTAATTATAGCATCTTGGTGCTATTTTGTCTTTTGCAATATTCTTGCCAATGATTCTTTTGCATTCAACCCTTGATCCTGATGTTTACTGGTATTCATTTCCTGGTATTTGAACAGAAATGGTTCATAGTCCAGTTCCCGACATTGCCTGTTGGTCTGGGGAAAACTCCTGCCTAAAACTCTGAAACCCTGCCAATCAGTGTGGGCAGTACTAAGCTAGGTGGGTGGATCAATGGTCTGACCTTGTAGAAGATATCTTCTTGTAGTGGTCTTTTGTGTTCCAACCAAATGGATATTGGACAGTGTCGTTAAGTGCAGGAGAATTTAATACCCCACTTAGAAGGTACCACTATGTGTTGATGTGAGGAGAAGGTGCGTGGACTTTCCTCCTGTGACTGTGTCTTGCCAAATGCAAGGTGGTTCTTTTGTTTATGAGATTCAGAGGCACTCCATGAATGCTAGAAGAATGTTGAAATGAAGTGATATGACTTTAGCAGAAATGTTATAAGGAATTAAGTATAAACAGATTAATAGAGTATTAAAGGAAAAATAAGGTTAAAATGTGTTAAGATAATTATAGGATACAAAACAGGGGAAGATGGAAAGGAATTGCTGAAATAATTAATAGAAGTGGAATACAAAAAGGCAGGTGTGAGGAGGTCGTGGAAATATGTGAAAGAAAGATAAGATATTGAAATTTTTCTCCTTTTTTCTTTTCTTTTTTTGATGTGTTTTTAAATTGTTTTTGTTTTGTCTTGTTAATTTAATGCTTTAGCGTTATGTAGTGTTTTTGTATTGTACTGTATTTTTTTTGTTTTTTGTTTTTCTGTAGTGTTTAAATTGTCGTAAATGTAATAAATATTATTTTTAAAAAGAGAGAGATTCAGAGGCACTGCAAACACAAGTGAGTGAGACGTTTAAAGATTTTATTCTAAACAGCAAGCATTACATACATTACCAAGCAAGCCCTTCAATCTGCCACTTGGAAGCCCTCAAGAAGTCGTGAAGCGACTCCCCCAGGTAGCCTTAGTTTGCACAGCCCTGCGATTGATCAGTCCGTGCGCAAGCTTCTCAAAAACTATGCCCAACACCATCCGATTTATAAATAGCTAAACTGTGCGGTTTGCCTGGCTGCCTACATGCTACTAGCTACATACAGATTAGCCACCTCTCCCAATGCTTCACTTTCTTCAAACCATGTCCAACATCAAAAGAAGGTACCTAACAATATCACTTCCTTCCAGCAGATTAGAGGCATTAAAGGCTGCTCTTCAGCCATCAAAGAGCTTAACAAGAGATAGAGTTGGGGAAGCAAACAGAGGCAGGAAAGCCAGGAAACCATGTTAGAATCATAGAATCATAGAGTTGGAATAGACCACAAGGGCCATCGAGTCCAACCCCCTGCCAAGCAGGAAACACCATCAGAGCAACATATGGTTGTCAAGCCTCTGCTTAAAGACCTCCAAAGAAGGAGACTCCACCACACTCCTTGGCAGCAAATTCCACGGTCGAACAGCTCTTACTGTCAGGAAGTTCTTCCTAATGTTTAGGTGGAATCTTCTTTCTTGTAGTTTGGATCCATTGCTCCGTGTCCGCTTCTCTGGAGCAGCAGAAAACAACCTTTCTCCCTCCTCTATATGACATCCTTTTATATATTTGAACATGGCTATCATATCACCCCTTAACCTCCTCTTCTCCAGGCTAAACATGCCCAGCTCCCTTAGCTGTTCCTCATAAGGCATCGTTTCCAGGCCTTTGACCATATTGGTTACCCTCCTCTGGACACGTTCCAGTTTGTCAGTGTCCTTCTTGAACTGTGGTGCCCAGAACTGGACACAGTACTCCAGGTGAGGTCTGACCAGAGAAGAATACAGTGGCACTATTACTTCCCTTGATCTAGATGCTATACTCCTATTGATGCAGCCCAGAATTGCATTGGCTTTTTTAGCTGCCGCGTCACACTAATCACCATCTCCTCGAAATACAAATATCTTCTGGCTAAATTGCCCATACAGTTTAGAAGGCACTGCTTGACACAACGAGGATGACACAGTGAAGGACTTCACACACCATGCTTGGAGATGTGTCAAAGTAGCTTATCATGTCCATTGGCTTGTAAAGGTAAAGGACCCCTGACAGTTAAGTCCAGTCACGAACGACTCTGGGGTTGCGGTGCTCGTCTCGCTTTACAGGCCAAGGGAGCTGGCGTTTGCTTTCGCAAACAGTTTTTTCTGGGTCATGTGGCCAGCATGACTAAGCTGTTTCTGGCGAAACCAGAGCAGCGCACGGAAACGGCATTTACCTTCCCGTTGGAATGGTACCTATTTATCTACTTGCACCTTTTGGGTGTGCTTTCGAACTACTAGGTTGGCAGGAGCTGGGACTGAACAACGGGAGCTCACCCCGTCACGGGGATTCGAACCACCAACCTTCCGATTGGCAAGCCCAAGCAGCACAGTGGTTTAAACCACAGTGCCACCCACATCCCCCATTGGCTTGTGGGGATCAGCAAATCTGTCAAATTCCAGTTTCTCTCCTTTTCCTCCCTTTGGTCCTTCACAATTTCATATCAGTTCGCAATTTTCAGAATTGTAGTGCAAATTTCTCCCAATGCAGTTTTGCCTAATGCGGTATACACGTTTTTGCAAAGCATTCCCCCCCCCTAACATGATGCATTTTGCATATTATTTTCACTAACGCATGAATTTGTATTCATTAGTATTTCATTATTGAATTTATACCCCAACCCTCCTCCCCAAGGAGGAAGTATTTGCACAGCTTCCATTAGTATGTTCATTTTTGCACACATTACAAAATGTGTACAATTGGAGAACTACATGACAAAATTCAGAGAGGTGCAAAGGGCGGCCATGCTTCATTTCACATCCTGTTTCAGAATGTGTGAATTAAACACATTTACATCTAAATATGAACTAAATTGTGTTTGTGCTGCATCCCTTTTGGGTGTAGTTAGCCATCTTCCACGCATTGCCACTTGCATTGTGCCTTTGTCACTATCAACAGCGCCATCTAGCAATAGCCAGTGGCGGAGGAAGCCACTAGGGTGCCTGGGGCGGTGCGCCCAGGGACAAGGCGAGCCGACCTTAGGTGCGGGGCTAGGGCAGGGCGTGCTGCCAATAGGGGTGGGGCGCATCGTGGGGCCTCTGGAGTCTGCCTGTCTCCTCCCACTCAGTCGCCCTACAGCTGGGGGGGGGGAGGCAGCGGGTGGACAGTTTCAGCAGCGCAGAGTCTGTGCGTGCCCAAGCCACCACGTCTTTCCTAGGAGAGATGCATGGCTCAGGCACGCTGCAGGCCCCGCGGTGAGTGTTGCCCAGTATTTTGTCACCCCCTCAGTGGTGACACCCGGGGCAGACCGCACACACTGCACCCCCTTCCCCCCCCCCCCAGCAAGAGCATGTCCCTGCTGCTGGCAGGTTGATCCTTCCCAGGTGCACTACATAACACCGGTCTTGAAAGACCTACATTGGCTCCCAGTACATTTCCGAGCACAATTCAAAGTGCTGGTGTTGACCTTTAAAGCCTTAAACAGCCTCGGCCCAGTATACCTGAAGGAGCGTCTCCACCCCCATCGTTCTGCCCGGATGCTGAGGTCCAGCGCCGAGGGCCTTCTGGCGGTTCCCTCATTGCAAGAAGCAAAGCTTCAGAGGAAACGCAGGCAGAGGGCCCTTCTCGGGTAGTGGGGGCCGCCCTGTGGAATGCCCTCCCATTCAGGATGTCAAAGCGATAAATAACTACCTGAACATTTCAGAAGACATTTTAAGCAGCCCTATTTATGGGAAGTTTTTAATCTGTGATATTTTACTGTATTTGGTTTCTATGGAAGCCACCCAGGAGGGCTGGGGAACCCATGCCAGATGGGCGGGGTACAAATAAATTATTATTGATTATTATCTATTATTATTATTATTATTTATTTTATTACAGATGCAAAAACAGGTTAACACATTTATATAAAACCACATATTATTTATATCTATATTATTATATTATATTTTATTATAATCTAATTATATTATATATTATATAATATTTTATATTATAAAACACATTATATATAACAATATATAAAAAGCAGTTTAAAAAACTCCTACATGCTTTTAAAAATAAGTGATTGTATGTATAAAAGAATTGCAAATAAATCCATGTAAGGACCTCCACTTAGGGATTTAAAAAACCTCTTTTGAAGGCTTATTGAAAGAGCAAAGTTCAAATTCCTCAAGAAGTCAGCACAACACTCACTTCCCCTCTCATCTCGTTCACAGACAAGGCCGCTTATCCTTGAGCTACTTGGAAGACATGGATTGGCCTGAACTAGTGCTTTGCAGAAGAGGCCTCTAAGTAAGGTAATGGTGGAGCTAAGGCTTATTTTATCAGTGGTATGTTGGGGCTATGTACTCCTACTTGAATCCTGTGCTATCCGACTTGGAAGCCCCAGATCCTATTACGTGAGCCATGAACATGCGCCATGCTTGATGCGGAACACTCTCGCATAATGAGGTCCACCTGGCACCCCATTTAACCTCTTTAGGTAAGAACTCATCTCTTCTCCCAGGCATTCATGTTTATTTGCTGTGCTGGTATTTGATGCAACTTATGTGCACTTAACTCGTTTGCATTCAGCTTTATGCACTTGGGGAGGGGGGGAGTAAAGGTGGATGGGAAGAAGGCTGGCATTCAGGAATATAGACATTGGCTATGCTACCCACCACTGAACTGAATGTGTTTTGACTATATACAATTTTGGCTTCACACACTATCCCCAGATGTAGCCTTCGTGTAAGCTGAGAGTCGCCTGCTATTTGACTGAGTTTGTTTTATATGTTATTGTATGGCTTTTATTGTACTGTGCTGTTCTTTTTTCTGATTTTATGTCATGCTTTATACTTTTAAAATTTTGTCAGTCACTTGGAGAGTTGTTGCTTGTATTATTATTATTATTATTATTATTATTATTATTGACAATGAATTCTTAGAGATATTTATTACTTCTCATATTGCGGGGTGCAAACTTGTAAGGCAGGAAGCTAAGCTCTGGTGATATTTGGTGATCCTTGGTTCAAAAGTTCTGAATCTATGCTCTTCAGTACACCCCACACAGATGTTTATGGCGCCTCTTTAGTGAGGGAAATGCACTCCCTGTATGCTCAGAGGCATTGTGTTCTACAACTAGCTTGTGGAGAGACCCCACCACCACCAAAATGACCCCAAGAAACCCCTGATATAAGAATGAGCCCAGGCTGATGGGAAGCTGCTTTTGAACAAGACATTAGTTTATATACTGGTCTCAGATTGGAAGATTTTTTTTGCAATTGGTACCAAGTGCATGTTGCAATTGGTACCATGTGGCATAACCATGTGATTTCAAGATACTGCGGATTGTGGAGATACTTTGGGGCAATTGTGGCTGTCTTAGACACATGGGAAACCACAAGTCTCTCTGTCCTTCTTGATAATGCAAGACATTCCTTCTCTGTGTGGTGGATGTAACTTGGCTTTTGGTCCATCTCAGCCTGTCATTGGACTTGTTCTTAGATGGCTACCTTCCCAAGAGAACAGATGGTCCTTGTTGCTTGCATTGCTCTGAAGCACTTTGTACTGCATGTCAGTGGATGACAAATGTCAGTGGTGACAGTAATGGTATCCATGTATCCTGAACGCAGATTTTCCTTAGAGTCTAATGCAGTTTGCAAACTGCTCCTCCTACATCCTGCTATAGCAGAGTTTGTGCATTGCCCTAACCCATGGGTAAGCAATCTAAGGCAATCGCCTTCTAAATCCAGCCCGCAGACGGTCTGGGAATCAGCATGTTTTTATATGAGTAGAATGTGTCCTTTTATTTAAAACGCATCTCTGGGTTATTTGTGGGGCCTGCCTGGTGTTTTTACATGAGTAGAATGTGTGCTTTTATTTAAAATGCATCTCTGGGTTATTTGTGGGGCAAAGGAATTCGTTCATTCCCCCCCTCTCAAAATACAGTCTGGCCTCCCCCAAGGTCTGAGGAACAGTGGACTGGCCCACTGCTGAAAAAGTTTGCTGACCCCTGGGCTAACCCATGTTGTGGAACTCCCAGTGTATGGAAGTTCACCAGATTCCCCCTTCCCTGCCTTTTAGGATGCTCATTTTCGGAGGATAGGCTAGCTTCTGGAATCAGAGATCTGAACACACTTTCTTTCCAGTTTTCAGTTGCATGTTTCAGTTGGATGGTTTCAAGGTCTTTGGGCAGCATGTTTGAATGGAATAGTTTGAACAAGTTTGATGAATTGATTGCATTAGAAACCCAGTGCAGATTTGGGTTACATCTGAACTTCTTATTCCAGCAGATTGTGCCATAGAATTCTCCCTTAGTCAATAAAGCCCTAAACAGATGGAGACCAGTTTACCTATAGGACCAACATGCCCCTTATATATCACCCAGATCATTCCAACCATCTGGTGAAGCCCACCTGACTGTCCCAAAGTTGTTTATGATTTGTTTAGTGTCTATGCAGACCAAGGTCTTTAGTGTTGTGGCACCAGTACAGCAATAGGACACTGTTCCTATTGAAATCAGGCACCCATAAGTCTGATATTTTGCCACCTGTTGAAAACATTTCTGCCTCGTCAAGCAGTTTTAAAGCATTGGTGTGGTTTTGCATCTATCATTTGTTTTGTATTTTATGATTTCACAATATAAATCCATTTTAATGTTTGTGTTTCACATCGCCATGCTATATTTTTTTTTAGCATGAACAAATACTCCTATGAATAAAAATTAAACGAATCATCTGGGCCAAGGTCATAACGCCAATTCCCGTCACCAGATAAGTAAGTGTCAGAAACAAACTAGGTTCGGCACTGAGCTGTGAAGATGACATAGAGTTAATTCTGGAGTGAGTCTGCAGAAAATTTACTCAAGTCCCATTATCAGCATGTCAGTAAGGATGCTTAAGGGATTCAATATTTGCTACTTTTGATAGGAAGTGATCTGCACCTTAGCCGCAAAATTTATGTGTGCATCAGATTTTATAATTTTCCATTGGTTGCAACACTACTCTTGCTGGAGGCGGAATCTCAGCAGGCATTCAAAAATACAGATTTTGAGATAGAACACTTTGGGAGAAAATATACTCAAAAGTTTAATTGTGAATCTTGCTGCAGTGTGTGTGTGTGTGTGTGTGTGTAGGTAGGCAGGTAGATCAGCATGATAACAGGATGGAAATGAGCTATGAGCAGGCATGCAAAAATTACCTAGTCTGAAAATAGACTGCTTGGACCACCCTACCTATCAGTTTTGTTCGCCATATGGATTGGCTGTAGGAGTTTTACTTCAATAGGGAAGAAAGATTCCTGTATGCAATGTTTTTTCATGTATTTTGCAGTAGCTGTTAAATTCAATGAAAGGAGATAAAACTCAGGAGACCATTTGGTTATAGCCACATTAAGAGGAAAAACACACACAACTATATTAAATCCAATTTGATTCTTGCTTTAAAACACATGTAAAGAAATGACAATCTTTGTGGAAGCTTAAATTACTGCTAACTAATCAACACCACTTAGTGACTTGCTAACACTGTGTGTGATTTCTAATTACTTCTGTAGTTTGTCATTGTTTAACACAATCAAAGCTAATTGACCAGAATTTTTTTTTTTTAGGTGATATTGTTGTAGGCTGCAGCGATGTTTTTAGTGTTATTGTTCCACTTTCTTTTAAGCACCCCAACCTTCTCTGCATCATTAAATCTTAAATTGGACTTTGAAAAGAAGTGTATTTTATTACAATTATCAAATGGAAAGGAATGTTCATTCCATGGTAAAAAAATAATCCACCAGAAGGGTCTTTATCGCCATTCTTTGCAGGTCAACGGTTTTTAAAAAGGGAAATTTGATTCAAAATGACATATTCTCATTTATACTACAGTAGTTATAGAAGTCAAAGGCAAGAGCAGGAACTAGTGGGCATTTCTGCCTTTCCCTTTTAGTGGAAAATCTTAATGTCTAAGAGTAAAATTAATGATAATGTAGAACTATTAGTGGATTGTGCAAATATGTCTTTGGTGAGTAATCTGTAGTCATTTTATCTTGTCCTACATATTATGAAATATGAAATCTATTTTTTCTGCATTTACCTATTTTTTCAAATTTTCTTTCTCTTCCTTTCCCTTCTTCCTATGTGGAAAGAGAGTTCTTTGGAGCTGGGGTATAGATTTAGGTTTGATGAGGCCCTAAGCTACTGGAGGTAATGGGGCCCTTTATATGTCCAGCTGTCCTTTCTCAACAACAAATTGTCGCTGTTTTTTGTGTGGAATATATGCTATATGGTAATTTATGGACCTAATAGGTATCTAAAGCCATTTGCGCATAACAAATGGGAGCCTACACAACACAAAACACTGTTGCTATATATAGGTTTTATTTTATTTGTTTTTTATCTTATATTTTGGAAATGTACATCCAGGTTTTTTTCCTTTAAATTTTTTTGGGGGGCCCAAGAGAGTGGGGACCTAAGCTATAGCTTGTTTAGCTTATACGTAAATCTGGCACTGGGTGGACATGTAGTATCTGGAACGGAGGGAACGACCACAGCACAGTGGTAGAGCATATGCACTCCATGCAGAAAATCCCAGCTTCATGCCCATTTGAAAAGTCTGTTTACCAGGTGATGAGAAAGATCCTGGAGATTCTGTGCCAGCCAGAGTTAACCCTACTGAATTAGATGGACAAATAGTCTGACCTGGCAAAAGGCAGTTTCATGCCCTGGATCAATTGTTCTTCAAGTACAGAGCCATTGAGCTTAGTGGCAGGGACAAACGCGGCAGGCAGAAGGTGCACTCTATTGACCAGTGACAAGCAGCAGAGGTTGGCGAAGCAGAGTGGTGTGCTGGTTTCCCAGTGTGGATGGCATTGCCGGTAACCAAGATGGAGTGGGGTGAAAAGCCAGGGAGGTCAGTGTGGCGAGGGCGCAGTGGCAGAGCTAATCCAATATCCCTGCCGCTGCAGCCACACAGCACTGACCTCCCCGTTGTGTTTACTCTTCTAGTCAGTTGCTGGCAGTGACCTCTGCACTGGGACGCCAGGTGAGCAACGCCGCCCCACCCTTACCTGCCTGCTGGCCATTACTGGTCAAGAGTTAACGTACCTTATGAACCTTGATGGCTGGGATAGCTCATTCGGTAGAGCATGAGGTGCTGAATCTTAGAGTCATGGGCTTAAGCTCCAAGTTGGGCAAAAGATTCCTGCATTGCAGGGGGTTGGATTAGATGATCCTCACGGTCCCTTCAAACTCTAGAATCATACTATGATTCTATGATTCTATGACTACTTGACTCTGTATGCTTGATGCTAATCGCTGATGGGGCACTTT